ATAAGCACTGGAGACTTGTTAAAACGTTCAGAATATGATATGAATTGAGTCACGCAACAGCGGGTCAAAGCTGCAGCTTTTCTGTGTGACTAACATGGCCAGCCAGGATTTAGGCATCCTGGACAAAAACACATCTTACAGAAAATCAGTGAAAGAATATATTTTGTTCCTTCCCGGCACCTATACTCCTAGCTTTAAAAAATATCTATGGCTACAATGACTTTGTATTTGGATTAATTATGCTTTCAAATATAGCTGTAACAGAACCAAATCATCACATTAGAATTCGGATATGGGATCCAAAGGAAATTCTTTATTTTATTTAAATTACTCTTATCTTCCCCAAACCCCTACCCACTGGGGTATGTTCAGGGGAAACCAATAACAACAACAAAAGAAAAAAAAAAATGTTTAGCCACTCCTCTGAACCCAAGTGACTTAACTTGTTTCTGTATTTCTCATAGTATTAATAACTCAAATGGCATGTTAGATGGGACGGTTCTTCCTAGAGCTCCGCAGACATTTGGCATCCTGTGCCCCCTCCTCATCCCTACCTCCTCCTTCTACAAAATGCAAGTAACACAGCATGATGACACCACCAGCTTCACCGCCCTCACACATTCCCAAACACCCCCTGCAGGTTAGTACTGCTGACCCCCTAAAAGGAGAATCCTAAGTAACGCTCAGGTACTTCGGCAAACCTTCTAGACCCACCCCCACTCACCCACCACCTCTCTTAAAGGGCATCTGGGCTTTTAAGGGAATGGGACCAATGAGGATCCTCTGGTTTCCAAGGAAACGGGCACTACTCAGCTGACTGCCCTTCCCAGCTAAAGCCAACAGCGAGTGTCATTCATGAGCTGGTCATCACATATAAAGTCAGCCCTGTATATAAAGTCAGCCCTGTATATAAAGTCAGCCCTGTTGCTACAGGATGAAATGAATACTATTCTCTAATGTGACACCGAGAATAACCTTGTTGCACAACTGATCGTCCAATTATACCCTGGTAAAAGGAGGAAACCTTCTTTTTTGATAGAAAGTTATAATGCTATGACAGAAAGGACATTCAGTTAAAAATTTTGTTTCTCAATTCTTAGGTATTGGGGAGAATTCAATCCTGAAGGTGGAGTGAACTAAATTAAAGATTTGAAATAGCTTCCGGGGCGGGGGGGGGGGGGGGTGGGGGGGGGGGTGGGGGTGGTGGTGGTGGAATCTACAAAGAACAGAACATTAAAATACCCAAAATATTCTGAATAAATTAGCACATTGAAATTCCTTTCAACAGTTTATTAAGTTCACTGTCATTAATTCTTAATCTCGCTGGGCCTGGGATGAAACGATAAGCTTTGATGACATATGTCTGCTTATGCACAAAAAAGAGCCCTGAAATACTGACGTGTTCCACCAGTGCAGCCTAAGTTTCCTAAGCAATGTCATCTTAGAGGATGGTATCTGAGACTTTGTTCTTTAAGAAACTTTTGTTTTCCTAATAAAGTACAGTTGGCATATAATAGTTTATCAGTTCCTAGTGTACAGTATAGTGACTCAACCTTTGTATGCCTTATGATGTGATCACCACAGTAAGTGTAGTAGCTGTCCACATGCAAAGTTATGATACCAATGACTACATTCCCTGTGCTATACACTGCATCCCCGTGGCTTATTTATTTTATAACTGGAAGCTTGTACCTCTTATTCCCTTCACCTTTGGTACCCATCCCCCCACCAACCTCCCCTCAGGCAGTCCTCAGTTTGTTTTCTGTCTCCATGCAAACAGGACTACGTACATCAAACTAAAAAGTTTATGCACGGTGAAAGAAACTATTAACAAAATAGTGACAACCTACGGAATATAAGGTATTTGCAAATGGTATATCCAATAAGGGATTACTATCCAAAATATAAAAGGAACTCATACCACTCAAAATCAAAACACAAAGATGCAATTTAAAAATAGGCAGAGGATCTGAATAGACATTTCTCTAAAGAAGATATACAGATGGCCAAAAGACATATGAAAAAGATGCTCAACATCATTAATCAATGGGGAAATGCAAACCAAACCCAAATGAGATACCATCTCACACCTGTCAGGATGGCTATTATCAAAAAAACAACAAATAACAAGTGTTGACAATAATATGAAAAAAAGGAGCCTTATGAGATTATAAATTGGTACAGACATTATGGAAAGGAATATGAAGGTTCCTCAAAAAATTAAAAATAGGACTATCATCTGACCCAGCAATTTTACTTCTGGCTATATACAAAAAAAAAAAAAAAAAAAAAAAAAAAAAAAAAAAAAGAAAAAAGAAAAGACTAAATATAAAAAATATACACTGAGTGGCCAGTGTATATGATTATTATGATCTCTGCGTGCATAATAATCTGGTCACTCAGTGTGTGTGTGTGTGTGTGTGTGTGAGTGTGTGTGTGTGTATATATATATATATATATATATATATATATATATATAATCTTAGAGGCCTAGCATGAACTTGTGCATGGTTGGGGTCTGGCCAGCCTGGCCAGGGAAGGGGACATGGGCAGTTGGCCAGACTGCCTGTTGGTCAAACTCCTGGTCGAGGAGACAATTTGCATATTAGTCTTTTATTATATAGGATTACTATATAAGATATACACTAAGTGGCCTGATTATTATGCATTCAGAGATCATAATAATCTGGCCACTCAGTGTATATGCACCCTTGCTTATTGCAGCATTATTTACAACAGTCACGATATGGGAGGAACCTAGAAGTCCATCCATGGATAAAAATGTGATATACATGTACAATTAAGGATTACACTGCAACAACAACAAAAAAGACTGTTCTTTGAAATACCCATAGTTCAGAGCACCTACTACAGTCTTTTCCACAGAGCTCTGAGACTTTTATTTTGCTGAAGACACAATCACTAAACTAGAGTCTTAGATAAGCTTCAGAGAGAAGCAGAAACCTGCTTAAAAATGAGACTGAATTGCTGTGGTCAATTTATTACAGTCCCAATAACATTAGAAAGAAAAATACCCTAAGAACTATTTCATAAGCGTTTAATCAATGCTTCCCATGAACTAAGAATCTATTATGAATAGTGAGGGCAGTGACAAATTTCCAGGGTCTTCTTGTAAAATCTACAATTTCTGAAAATTTTAAATTTTAAATTAACTTAGGGAAGGCTCTGGTCTGAATTTTTCCCATGCAATTCTCATAATAGCGGTGAGGTAGTTAAGAAACATGGAGCATACCACACAAACCTAAGTCTTCCTGGTATCTCTCTACTGCTAATACTATTGTGGCAGATATAGAAATGCACCCTTCAGATGTTCAGACTTTTCTTCAAGGAAGGACTTGTGTCCTCTAACTTAGAACTCCTTCAAGCTGGCCTCAGCTTTTGAGTTCTGGTTATGCTCTTCTTGGGGCGGCCTCTACTAATGACCAAGCAAGAGGTGCTACAAGGACCGAGACTTTTGCCAAGTACAAGACACTTCTACTAGGCAATCCTCATGCTGGACCTTTCTTAGGCTTCCAGAGACTTTGTCAGATCTGCATTGTTATCTGTTGACTACTCCTGTTCAGTCTTGCTGCCTGCCTTTTCCTTTCATGGGTGTTACTTCTGTCTCTATCTCTGTTCACGTCTCAGAGGACCCAATGGTACCAGGATTGACCAAAAAGAGTTGTAAATTGGGATTTTGAGACTGAATCCCTCACTACCTGACTGGCAACACACACACACACACACACACACACACACACACACACACACCCAAAAAACAAAACAAAACAAAAAACAAAAAACACCATCCCTGCTGATATCTGGGGCACAGTGAGTCCTTGGCCCAGTATGGTAGTGCAATTGCTAAATCACTTCACTGGCAGAGTTTTAACTGGAACATAAACACAGGGTGAGTTTATTGACTTTGGGGAACTCTCTTTGAATATAGGATTAAACACTCTGGAAAGGACCTGAGAGGGCAGGGCGGGGCAAGGATGAGCTCCCACGGACTTGGCTCCCTGGTGGTCCTTGGGGATCACGAAGTCTGGGCATAACAGACCCAAGTGCGTGGAGCAAATTCTCTGCCAGGGTGACTTCTAGACACCTAGAGAAAGCACTGTCATCGATATGTGTATAGAGAGTGAATCTCCATGGAGCAAGAAGTGAACTGTGACAGCCACAGAGATGTGCTGCTCAGGTATCTCTTCAACAAAAAAGGTCCTTTGTATTACCAGGGAGGAGTGTCTTCCATGACAGCCTTCCACTGTTAACACTTTGAAGTCCAACTCAGGTGTTGAGACCACATTCTTCTAGTGGTAGCTCCAGTCAATGACTAAGCAAGAGTGTGTTACAAGGGCCTACCACCGTATCCCAGTGTGGCTCTACCCCTGCCCCATCTGGTTTCCTGCCTTTTCCTTCCACCTTTCCACATTCTTAACTCTATCCACCTCTAGCTTCCTGAAGGACCTAAAATAGATGTATCATCTTCTTTCTATAGAAGTAGCTTCTCCTCATTACTGCATTTTGTCTATGGTCTAATATTTTCCCGTTCATTTGAGCTTAAAATCTTGTAATTTAGTACGCATGTAACCACTTAGTAACATTTATTTTTGCTTAGATTATTCGTCTAATTATCGAAAAAGTATAAAAAAGGGTGTCTGCTCTTTTTAATATTTTCACGGGAAAGACTACTAGGGTTAACTTTTTGCAACTGCGAAGAAAAAGTTTTAAAGCAGATTTTGCCAAGTCCAATTCCCTACCGGGTTTCCCATGAGCCACCTGAATATACTCTCTGGCGCTTACCGGGAAGAACTACAATTCCCGTCGCACATTGCGGCATCCAGAGCCTAGACTACAGCTGCTTACGTCATTTCCACCCACCCAGGCGGTGGATGCTGGGTTTTGTAGTTTGTGTCAACTTCTCTTTTGTCGCCTCCTGGGGAAGGGAACAGCGGGACGGGATAGACTGCTCTGTTATGGTTTTTTAATTAACTCACTAGGACAACGTATCAAAGCCAATGTAGCCTCAGTTTTTTGGTTTTTTTTTTATGTAGTTCACGTTCTTTTTTCCTCTTACTCTGCGGCCGGGAAGGGGAAGTGACGTACTTCCGGTGCAATGGCGGCGCGGTGGAGTTCCAGGTAATTATCTAACTCGGTAGACTCGCCACCGGCGGCGAACCGGAGTGGGGGTGCTGGGCTGCCGGGCCGGGTGGGAAGAGGAGCGGGCCCCGGGGTGGGTGCGGGGATGCCGGGGCGGCTGCGGGCGGCGCCGGGGCGCGCGCGGCCGTCTTCCCGCCCTGCGGCGGCCTGGCCCGCGAGGTGGAGGGGGAGAGCCCCCGGGCGGAGCCTGAGCGGGTGGGCCAGGGGCGAACGTGCATCCCCGGCCGCCCGCGCGGAGGGGCCCAGCCTCCCAGCGAGGGTGTGGGTACCATGTCTCCGCAGGGTCTTTGTTGCCGAAACCCTGCGCCCGCGCTGCTTCTCCCCTTCCGTGTGGGCTGTGTTTCGGCGGCGAATCACTGAGGACATCTCGAGTCGTTTGGGCTCGAGGCCCCTCTCTCTCGGGCTGCAGTCGGTGGAAGCGGGATTAATGAAGTGTAGTTCATTAACAAATAGCGAAAGTTCCACTCTCCGTCGTAACGTTCCTGGCTGCTTCTCTAAAATGCCATTAGTCGTGTCTTTGTCATACGTGTGCCCCGTAAGGGATGGTTGTTCTCGGCGTTTACTCCGAGGGGTCTCTTTGTTCCTCGGTATGTGTTGCACTTCCTCCGTCGTCCCTTTTCCTTCTGTAAGGTGATCAGCCTCCAAACCTGTCACCCCCCTTTCCGGGCGCCCAGGATCCCACAGTGCACTTGCATGTAACAGGAAAACAATTGTCAATTTCACCGAGCCTAACTGCAGCACCAGTAGACCTGTTTTCACATAATCCTCACAACAGTTTCTTGAGATAAAAGAAGAAGGGAAAAATTGGGGAAAGACTATTTCAGATGCAAGACTTCGGTGATTACAAGTATGGTGAGAATTTCTTTTACATGTGTAGGTACCCAGACTAGAAATAGCAGATAGATAAACAAGCAAACTTGGGCTTCTGAAGACCAAGTTCACTTGCCTCCTCTTTAACTTGTCTTATTTTAGGATTGTCTGTGAACTGGAGAGTTAACCTCAAAAATTGCTTAACCATGGAAAAGCAAATTTAGGATTGCCATTAAAAAGCGTGATTTTGATCAAAAGAAGCATTGTCACAGGCAGCATCTGCAGGAGGAGACTGACTTGTGCTGGTACTGGGGGACCAGCAGAAAGGCAAAGATTTCGGTCTGTCTTTAGCACGTATTAAGTCTCTCTCTTGGGACAGGTTACCTAACATCTTTTGTCTCAGCATCCTCATTTGAAAATTGTGGTTAATAGTGATAACCTACCTCAGTGGGTTGGTTGTTCTGAGGATAAAGAAAAATAATTTATATAAGGAAGGCATTGTGCACAGTGCAGTTTTAGCTGTTATATTATTATTTTTTAAAAATATATTTTATTGATTTTTCACAGAAAGGAAGGGAGAGGGATAGAGAGCTAGAAACATCGATGAGAGAGATACATCAACCAGCTGCCTCCTGCACACCCCCTACTGGGGATGTGCCCACAACCAATGTACATGCCCTTGACCGGAATCGAACCCGGGACCTTTTGGTCCACAGGCCGGCGCTCTATCCACTGAGCCAAACCGGTTTCGACTAGCTGTTGTATTATTGTTACTACTATAACATGAATTCGCTGTCTCCGTTCTTGTTCTTTGGTTTTGAATGTTGCCCTTCCTCTTTTTATGTGGCCATGCCACTTTTATGGAGCCTTTCCCACTTCGTTTGACTGGAGCTCTGAAACTTCAGGAGCCAGGAACATTGGCCCAGGGTCCAGAAAATGTGCTCTCCTGAATCAGCAGCACTAGCCTCTTCTTGGAACTTGTTAGTAATGTAAATTGTTGGGCTTTAGCCCAGACCTGCTGATTTAGAAACTGGGGAATGGCGAGGCGGGGGGTGGAGGGAGATCTTTCAATCTCTTTTTTACCAAACCATCCATGTGATTCTCATGCGAGTTTGAGAGCCACTGGTCTAGCTCATCTGGGGATCTGCTGTGGTCCATCCCACCCCAGAGTTAGGTTTGCTGCCTTCCCTATGAAATGTTTCAAAGTATTTCATCTATAGCCAACCAGTATATCCCTATTATGACCCCTGTGCTTCCCCACTTTGACTAGTTTAGTCCTATCATTTCTGAAATTCTGACACTTCCTGGACTACTTAACTGTCTTTCCTAAACCAGCCAGAGCTCTGTCAGTTTTCTGAGCTTTTGAATTGTGAGTGGTTAACTCTCCTAACTGGTGATTGTGCACTGCCAAGTGGTCTATAGTTGCTGTAGTACACAGTGAAACATTATCCTGCCTAATAAAAGAGTAATATGCAAATTGACTGTATATCCACTATACCCATAAGCCACACCCACCAGCCAATCAGGAGTGGGTATGCAAAATTAACCTAACCAAGATGACTGTGGCCACAAAGCGAGCAGGAGGCTTGGGTTTCCCTGGGAATGGAGGAAGCCAAGCTTTCTGCCTGCCGTGGCTGGCCCTGGACTCCACTCAAGGCTACAAAGTTTCAATTATAGAAGGTAAATAAATCCCAACAAAAATGGCAGCAGCCACAGAGGTGGAGAGAGCAGGAGGCATTGGTTGCCTCTGGCGATGGAGGAAGCCAAGCTTCCTAGCCTGCTTGGCCTTTGCTCAAGGCTAAAAGTTTCAATTATAGAAGATAAATCCCAGACACCAAGGCCTATGCTTGGGTCACCGGGGGACGTGGCCGGCCTGCAAACCACCACAGGCTCCTCACCCAGGCCATCCTTCAGGCCCCATCTGTGCACCAGGCCTCTATCCTATCTAATAAAAGAGTAATATGCAGATTGACCATCAGTCCAACACACAAGATGGCTGCCCCCATGTGGACACAAGATGGCCACCACAAGATGGGCAGTTGGGGGCAACCAAGCCTTCAGTGGAGGGCAGTTAGGGGTAATCAGGTTGGCAGAGGAGGGAAGTGGGGGCGACTGGGCCTGCAGGGAATGGCAGTTGTGGGGGGACCTAGGCCTGCAGGGTAGAGCAGTTGTGGCGGGGGGAGGGACAGGCCTGCAGGGGAGGGCAGTTAGAGGCAATCAGGCTGGCAGGGGAGCGGCTAGGCATCAATCAGGTTGGCAGGGGGGTTGTTAGAGGGTGATTATGCTGGCAGGCAGAATCAGTTAGGTGCAGTCAGGAAGGCAGGCAGGTGAGCAGTTTGGAGCCAGCAGTCCTGGAATGTGAGAGGGATCCCAGATTGGAGAGGATGCAGGCTGGGCTGAGGGACACACCTTCCCATGCAAGAATTTTGTGCACCGGGCCTCTAGTGTATTTATAAAGCTCATGCCTTAATTTGAACATTATTCTCTTTATTGCCCACTTTTATTTAGTCTAAATTTTGTACTACTTGGTCTATCCCTAACTTGCTATAAGTCATGGCTAGCCTAGAGCTAGTTTAAGAAAAAATGATTATTGGTAATAGAGCTTATCCCACTGATAACTTTGTGGGCTTATTCATATTTCTCTACTTTTCAGTTCAAGTCTTAGCATGGAAGGATGGTGGTACAAGAAGGCCTCCAGACTTACTAAACCGATAGCCTAAATATTTTATCTCAGTGTATGTAGTTCCTAAGTGGACATTGGAAGAGACATTTCATTGCCTACAACTAAGGGCAAACTTTCAAAGCATTCTCTTCAAAAATAATACATCAGGAGGAATCAATGGATTAAAGCAAGCCTTTGCCATTTGCAACCAAGCTACCGTATTTTTCGGACCATAAGACGCTCCGGACCATAAGACGCACCAGTTTTTAGAGAAGGGAAATGAAGAAAAAAAGATTCTGAAACAAATAGTGTCCTAAAATATTTTATGTGCATTAAAACCCAACATCACAGTCATAAACACATGTAATCAACCCTGTAAAGTAAACAGCAGCATTTAGAACCATTTTAGAGCCGGGCAAGCACACAGAGACCACACAGAGCCGGGCAAGTAAAAAAACTTTTTTTTTAAAGTATATGTGTAGGCTATATTTGGACCATAAGACGCAGGGACTTTTTCCTTCCACTTCTGGGGGGAAAAAAGTGCGTCTTATGGTCCGAAAAATACGGTAATTCGTCTTTCCCAGTGAAGAAATACCAAAAAGATCATAATGGCTGTTTTGGCCTAGAAACGTGTTCCTGTCATATAGAACAGGTTATCTAATGGGAAGGAGAGACCCTTTGGAGATTTATGTTTAACTTGACTAGGAACCTAATTCATAAATGTAATAGGCTAGGGCAGAGTTCAGCACTTCCACCTGAATAGCTACCTTGACTGTTCTTCCCTGAATTAGTTTATCAGGACAGCTGGTGACAGGAGGCTCTGTAGGGGAACATAGTGCTGTGTGTCTAGGGGCTACTTCATAAATCTCTGGAGTCTCCCACCTCCAAATGTTCTTGGAATGTGGTTTGCTAAATGGCTCTTGAATTAAATACTTAGAAAGCCCACTTTGAAAGCTGTGCACATCCCGACTGGGGATTGAACCCGAAAGCTGGGTATGTGCCCTGACTGGGAATCGAACCAGCAACCTTTTGGTGCATGGGATGATGCTCGACCAACTGAGCCACATGGGCCAGGGCAAGAGTGGTTTTTATAAATGTTAATTGAAGGTGTGGAGGTAAAGATGTTTTTCCAGTGGGACTATGGAGAAAAGATAATGACTGTTCACTTAACAAATAAGTATTGAGAGCTTTCTATGTTGGGAATATGGCAATGAACAAAACCAGACAAAAATCCATGAGCAAAGACTAGCCTCTACAGAAAAGTAAATGTTAGAGGGGTGGACAGAATAATGGAGAAAGGAGGAAAACCAGGTGAACCCAGTGTCCCTGTAAGCAAGAACTTCAGTAAGAGGAGCTTCGCAGACCAAATTATAGAGCAATGGCAGATAAAAGAAATGGTCCATGAGTTTAGCAACAAAGAGGTCATTATGTAACCTCGATAAGTACTTTGTAGTGAGAATAGAAAACGCGGTGTTGGCGGATAAGTGGAGTTAATGGGTGAAGTTAA